ACATACCGTTAAGCTAAGTAGCTCTCTCTCAGAGCGTCTGAAGAATGGGCTCCCTATTATCCCTGACTTGACCCTGGACGCGAAGCACATTCAGATTTCGTAAATGATTCTCAACATGTCTGGTGCACTCCCCAAGCAAAATACAACTTGTTTCATATTTATAGGCACTTGTAGTGTATAAATATGGACTTAACAGGGGCAGATCCAGGATTATTTAAAGCCGGGGGGAGGGGAGGGATTGGGAAAGACAGGCCTCGGATGGGAAGCCGACCATCGCCAACAAGGCGTGAGATTCGGGCCTGCTCAAGGGCCCCGAAAACTTTTTGATGTTTTGGAGAGCAAACAGCGCCCTTAGGTACGGGTTGGAACTTTTCTTTCTCGATTTCTCAATTATGCGCAGGGTCTCCAACTCGTTTTTGCAGCGAGTCATTTTTTTGCACTAAACTTAATTTTATTGTACATTTGATCTTTTTTTTTGGTTGGGAGCAAAATGGTCTGAAACCAGAAACAACCTCGATGTACAGATCTAAGGCGATTGTCCGTTAAACTCGATCAACGACAAAAACCCTGTTTGCAATGACGTTGTACTGACAACCACTTACACTGAGTGCGCGATTAGGTTAAAACACCTTTTTTTGTGACCACTATTGTATGATTATATCATAACAATTTGAAACGAAATCCAGATTTCTTGAAATAGATTGATTGATGCCATTGACAGAAAAACTAATACCGCACTTGGAAAAGTTTAAACGATCCATTTTAATGCAATTCTAAAGGATCTCTTCCAAAGAGTGCTAAATATGGTTTTGAATGTTGTGTCTGGTTGTCATTAGTTTAATCATTTCAACAAGATGATGTTATGAAAATTTAATGTTTGCCATTGTGAGCTACAAGGAAGTTTTACACACTGTTACTAGTCCATATCACCATCCAGTTCAATATTGGATACACTCAACACACACAATGCATAGATGGACAGACAGATCGATATCTTATGTAATAGGGAAAATATTTTAATTCATTTCAATTTTCTCTCACAGTATCAGCAAGTCAAGCAGTCAAAATTGACTTACATCTTTACATCCGTCTGCATTCATATAACTACCTTGGATGGGCTTGGTTAATATGAAATCGCTGTGAAACTATCTATTGTTACTTCCACCTTGGGTTCGTTAATAATTTTTTAATTCATTTGAAATGCCCATAAGTGCTCTCCAAGCTTTCCTTTGCTTTGGGTAAAATAATAGCGGTCAAGGTCACAAAAGAGTAACCGTCAGTTTGACTGCTTGTATTGGCTAGTCAGCTCATAAAATTGAAAGGTAAATAGGTCCAGTATCTAAATTCAAACTATAACACAATAACACGGAATATGAAGTTGGCGGAACCAAAAGTAATTATAATTATTGTAATTAGTTAATTGCATTCCTAATATAGGCATTTTTCACTTGCAAAAATGAAATAGCATTTTCACTTCTAGACGTATTTTTCCAAACGTCCTACAGTGTAATAGACTTTAGATGAGGAAGTCGACTTACAAAAGCAAATATCACAAACTAACTCCCGCAGCTGTTGAAATGATCGCTATCACGTGCATTTTTAGGCCAGAAGAAGCACTGTGGTCAAAACAAAACAAAAAAAAAACTGCGTTCTTTTTTTAGCTAAGCCAAAATTCTTTAAGCAAAAGTCAGCTGTTGATGTGTTTCCCGGATACAATATTTGTCTACACATCTACAGCCACAGCAACATGATCCCTGGACTAACTGATCTGATGACTAAATATAGCCGAATCACTTAAAAGCAAGCCGACTAATTTCCTGATGGCCTCCACGCATACACGCGGGCCATCGCTGCAAAAGCCTTGCAAATAAAACTCAGAGCTAAGATTTAATCCGTTAAATGGTGTGTGTGGAAGTGGAGAGATAATCAGAGGATTAAGCAGAGCTGCTTATAAGTTTGGTCTGCCATATTTAATCGGTAGATCAGTTATAATATTTAAACATGAAAAATAACCATAATGCCTTGCTGAACAGTTTCTTGTTTGTTTTTATTCATTATTTCTTGAAAGGCATCAGTTGGATATTCCTTCATTTCTGATGTAATTCCTTTCTCAAATTCACTGAGGAGAAATGACTTGACCAGAGAATCTTTTTATCCTCCAACTTGCTTCAGTCCCCAACCAACTGGAACACTATCTTGGCTTAAGGCACCTGATATAGGACCTGTCACCTATGCAGTGAAAATTCACAGTGACTGTGCACCTTTCCCAATTTTCCACAACAGCTGCATGGCAGTCTCTGATAACTCCAGATGAAGACAAAGATGTGTGCATGTCACTGGCTGAAATAACATCATGTCCTTCATCAACATAAGGTCTTATGAGCGATGAGAGTCTCTTATGAGACTTTCAAGGGGAGCAGTTTTTGTTCATATTTGTCCTTGCCTGCTTGTGCCGAACAAAGAAGCATATATGTTCAGATAAAGCTGGTATTTCTATGGACAAAATAATGGGAGCACATCATCTAAATTAATATTTCTTCAAGGCCATCCACTTTAGTTTTCAGCTGAAATTTATCTAGCAGAAATATAACTGCAACACAGTTCTAAGTGGCTTTCTCCACGCAGTGGATCTGAAAAATGAAAATATTATTTTACAAATATATCCTTGCTAATAATTAACAGGAAACTATGAAATTTGCCCAGATGAAAGGCTTTTCATAAGCAAGCTTCTATCTAGCAATGATAAAATCCACCTTTAAAGCTAATTATTACAACAAACATCAATGTTATTGAAACAAACATTGATTGGAATACTAAACAACATAATAGTTTTCAAAGAGAAAATCATATAATAAGCAAAACGAATGTTTTTTTTTAAAGAAAATTAATGAGCAATATAAAGAATGACGAATCTAAGGCAAAGGCATGGCTCAGAATCTCATTTACCTCATACCCATTACTAGCATACTTCCATGATCCTAGTGGTGCAAACACACCTTGGAAATCTAGACACCAGTAGTTTGGTTAGCAAAGGCTTTTCTTTCCCTATGTGAACTGGGTGCTGGCACTCTCTGGATTGAGTCTATTCTGTACCTAGTCGAAATCTGTGAACTGGACATACCGTAAAGCTAAGTAGCTCACTCTTAGAGCGTCTAAAGAATGGGCTCCCTATCACCCCTGACTTGACCCTGGACGCGAAGCACATTCAGATTTCGTAAATGATACTCAACATGTCTGGTGCACTCCCCAAGCAAAATACAACTCGTCTAATATTCATAGGCATTTGTAGCATATAAATATGAACTAAACAGGGGCAGATCCAAGATTCTTTAAAGCCGGAAGGGGGGGGGGGGGAGGTGTTCGGAAAGCTGACCATCGCCCACTATGCGTGAGGTTTGGGTCTGCTCAAGGGCCCCGAAAACTTTTTGATGTTTTGGAGAGCAAACAGCGCCCTTAGGTACGGGTTGGAACTTTTCTTTCTCGATTTCTCAATTATGCGCAGGGTCTCCAACTCGTTTTTGCAGGGGTCATTTTCTTGCACTAAACTTTATTCTATTGTACATTTATTGTTCATTTTTTTTAGTTGGGAGTAAAATGGTCTGAAACCAGAAACAACCTCGATGTACAGATCTAAGGTGACGGTCCGTTAAACTCGATCAATGACAAAAACCCTGTTTGCAATGACGTTGTACTGACAACCACTTACACTCAGTGTGTGATTAGGTTGAAATGCTTTTTTTTTTTTTTTTTTTTTTTTTTGTAACCACTTTTGTAAGATTCTATCATAACAATTTGAAACGAAGTCCGGAGTTCTTGAAATATATGGATTAATGCCACTAACAGAAAAACTAATACGGCACTTGGGAAAAGTTTAAACGATTTATTTTAATGCAGCTCTAAAGGATCTCTTCCAAAGAGTGGTAAATATGGTTTTGATCATTTAATCATTTCAAAGAGATGATATCGATGCTATGAAAATTTAATGTTTGGTATTGTCAGTAACAGAGGGGTTTTACACACTGTTACTAGTGCATATCGCCATCCAGTTCAATATTGGATACACTTAGCACACAAAATGTATAGATGGACAGACAGATCGATATGTTATTTATTCTGAATTGTCAGCAGAAGCACAACAAATAGAGAAAACATTTTAATTCATTTCACTTTACTCTCACAGTATCAGCAAGTCAAACAGTCAAAATTGTCTTACATCTTTACATCCGTCTGCATTCATATAACTACCTTGGATGGGCTTGGTTAATATGAAATTGCTGTGAAACTATCTATTGGTACTTCCACCTTGGGTCCGTTAATTACTTTTAATACATTTGAAATGTCCATAAGCACTCTCCAAGCTATCCTTTGCTTTGTGTAAAATAATAACAGTCAAGGTCACAAGAGAGTAACCGTCAGTTTGACTGCTTGTATGGGCTCGCCAGCTCATAACATTGAAAGGAAAAAAGGTCAAGTCTCTAAATTCAAATTATAACACAATGGCACGGAATATGAAGTTGGCTGAACCAAAAGTAATTATAATTATTGTAATTAGTTTATAGCATTCCTAATATAGGTATTTTTCACTCGCAAAAATGGAATAGCATTTTCACTTCTAGACGTATTTTCCCAAACGACCTACAGTGTAATGGACTTCAGTTGAGGAAGTGGACTTACAAAATCAAAAATCATAAACTAACTCCCGCAGCTGTTGAAATGATTGCTATGGGTGCATTTTTAGGCCTGTAGAAGCACTGTGGTCAAAACAAAAAACTGTGTTCTTTTTTTAGCCAGCAAACTGGGTATTTGTATATTCCAATGTACCTGGGAAGGCGGCTTGAGAGCCAGGGTCTTCTAGGTCTTCCGGAAGACGGTCAGATTTTCAAGTTTACATTGACGGTATCTAATTTTTTCTGTCGGAGGACGGTCAAAATGGAGGATGGATCAACAAAGATAATTTGGAAGACTGTCAGAAAATATCGCTGTATACGCCCCTGAGAGCATGCCCAAATTCTTTAAGCAAAAGTCGGATGTTGATGTTTTTCCCGGATACAATATTTTTCTACACATTTACCAATTTGCACTACAGAATTCAATCAGCAATTTACAACACATCATTTTAATCTATATATAATTTTGGCAGTTTCCCTTTATTTTTGAATTGGATAGCATTAAGAAACCAATAGGTCACTTCAAAACCTAAATAGCATCTAAAATTTTTCATACATCATCATGCCTTGCCACATAACTCCGTGAATTATCCCACATCCAAGTCTAATTGCCCTTCCTATTGAATACAGTGACGTACAGAGGTATCTGCATCTGCCTCCAAAATTAGCACAGTTCTAATGGCATACTTATATCAACAATTTTTAACATATCCCACCTTGAATTTATACCATTGTAAAAAAGTTATACAGAGAATGAAATTCTGTCAATATAAAAACTGAAAAAATTAAGTGAGGAAGTCACCAAATGGTGCTATTCAGTCTCAATTTTTTTCATTTTCATTCCAAGATTTCTGTCATCGTCCTATTACCACCAGTGACTCTCATTTACTGGTTTGGGTTGCCCCCTAAAAAATGGAAGAATAAATTAAGTCCTGCGACAGTTCACCAGGACCATGTCATAACATAAACTCCATGCACCACTACAGTATCTTACTACACGTGATAAGTGTCACTTTCCTTAATCTCTTTTAGTCATAGACTGGGTTCCCATACCTAGATTGATCCATCTGGATCGACCTAACTCCGTGAGGAGTCTCACTAAAATGCTATCATCTAACTGGCTTAAATGTCTGTCATGCCCACCAAATCAGCTAGAGGTCAAGATAATTACCCCCTAACAACTTTACTAGGCGTGACAGACATTTATGCCGGTCAAGTTGACAGCAATTTAGTGAGATTCCCCAGGGAGATAGATCGATCCAATTATCTGTGAGAATGGTCCCACAATGTCCTTTCGCAGTCAGCAGCATTTAAAAAATATATCCACAGCTTCCTCTTGTGTTCTCAGTGTTGACAAAACCTTGGTTGACACTGAACAAATCTAGCACCCTGATGACTCTCACTTGGAATTCCAAGTTCATGAGCTGTCACACATTAAATGCCCCTCTTCCTGGTCGCTTTGTCCTCTTTCCTTCCTGTCTGTTCTTAGTTTCTATGTATCGTTTGAATTTATTGTCTTCCTCCAGGTCGTCCTGGCTGATGGGTTTAGTGTTGGCACATCCCGCCACCGGGCACCTGAGGGGATACATAGACAGTTAAAAGTAGCGCAGACTAATTCCCTGATGGCTTCCCGCCTCCACTGAGGGGAGAAATTGACATAGAGGGCATTCACTAAAAGTTGATCCCTGGACAAACTGATCCACTGACTAAATATGGCCGACTCACTTAAAAGCAAGCAGACTAATTCCCTGATGGCCTCAACGCATACATGCGGGCCATCGCTGCAGGGGCCTTGCAAATAAATCTCAGACCTAAGATTAAATCCCTTAAATGGTGTGTGTGGAAGTGTTAGCTGTATACTAACTTGGTTGTCACCCCTCATTTTCAACATTGTGTTAGCTGTGTACTTACTTGGCTCTGTCACCTCTCATCTTCAACATTGTGTTAGCTGTGTACTTACTTGGCTCTGCTGCCTCTCTTCTTCAGCATCTCCTCTACGGCGGCTCTGTCATATCTGTGATCACACAATTTGTTCCTCATGGGGTTGATCATCTCTTGACCCGTGTACGGACACTTGGTGACCACCACTTGCTGGGTCATGGCAAGGTCATCATCATCAAGGTCAAGGCTGGCCTGCTCTGGCATTAACTCATCTGGACAATAGAAAGAAACATGAAAAGGTATTCCATCTTCATTTGAGAACATCCTTACTCATACTTTTTATCAGTCTATGTCAATCCTTCAAACCTACTTATATTTTCCAACTAATACCTTCAAAATGTTCCAACCCTTCAAATTACTACCTAACATTAGTATACATTCTTAAAATATATATATTATATTTTAGTATATATTCTTATATTCTTCTTCATTTGAGAAATGTTCCGACCCCTCCAATAACCACCTGATGTAAGTACATTTTCTTCAAAAATGTATAGGGAGACATGGTGGTTCAACATACAACGAAATGATTTAATTGAAAATGGTATAAAATATCCCAGTCAAGCAAAGATCCCTGAGTAAGAAAATATTGCTTATTCTTAAGGAAAATGTGACTTAGTTGGAAAGCCCAGATAGGATGACTTTGAACATTTACAGGTGATTTGGGAGGGGTGGGGGGGGGGGGATGGAAGAGAATGACAGCATGCTTGTCAATGTCTCTGACAGTAAAAAGGAACATTACATGGAATGGTTCTCAAAAGCCAAATAGAAAAGTTTAGTGATCAGGTCGCCAGTAATAATGTAACGGTTCCAAAAGGGGTAACTAGAAAATGTGACACCAGTTAAGAGTACTTCTGGCAGAGCCTCACCTGGGTGAAGTGTGTCCCATATCTTCTGATTCAGATCTTTATATTTGATGTGTTCCTGTAACCTGGCAGGGTCTATTGTCTTTTTCCTCTCAGTGAATTCTCTGTCCAACATGTCCGCCATGCCCACCGTGTCACCAGTGCTCTGGGGTGGTCAAAAGGAATTACTTAACAATAAGTAAGCATACTGTTCTATGGGTACTTACACAAACTTACACAAGAATTTGAATAAAGAGGTGAATTAATTTGAAAAACACCCATATTTATAACACACTAACTGTTTGACAATCCTCTGTTCATAAGCAAAGAGAGTTGTACATATGTAACTGTTACATTTTCTTGTGTAAATCTACTCCAATCCTTTTTTTATCAAAGAATGCTGCTCATAGAAATGTACAAAATACAGTGAAATTGAATAAAAGAGCACAAAGTATAGCACAAACGCAATTTATGCAAGTTATTTGACCCAATCTAAAAAAAAATTATTCCAGAACCAAAAAAAAAAAAAAAAAAAGCTTACAGTACTGATATTTTCTACAAGACCACAAGATGTCACTTTGACAAGAGAAGACAGGTTCCAGTTTACCTGAGTTTTGACGTGATCAACTGCGGAGAGGAAATGCTGAAGCTCAGCCTCCATGCTTATATACTGCAGCATCATATCTTTTAACTCATTCTCTTTATCCGTGCTCTCACCTAAATATAAACCATCAATATATGAACATCAAGACTTTCCACATCACAAAATGATTAGAAGTATTTTAAGCACTAAATCTTTGGAATGTAAAGTTAACATCAGTCATGCGATCTGAAGTTTAGGGAGTGTTGATGATTCTTCCTAAAACCTGTTAGTCTAGATACCCTCAAGCTCAGAAAGAATGGGACATTACCAAAAGTAACAATTTTTAACAACTGGTTACGCCCCTCTTTTATACATGGATTGCGTTACTTGAACACAATGCATGAGTTATCAACAGACAATAGTTTGGTGATTCATTGCAGCATGGGATGTTAACCCTGGTCTAAACAGAGGTATCAGCTCTAATACCCTATAACTATCACTGTTAGCTAGATATCGCTGTGAGCTAGCTGTTAACAGATAATCTAGAGGGTTCTTTCTGACCTCAACTATATGTGTTGTTGTTATTTACTTATAAACTGTTACACTGGTCAATTACAGCCAACTGCACATCTCACTGTGGGCTCTTTTCATTAATTGACCATCTCTCCCCCCTCTCTTCTCAAGTTAACGCCAGAATGTAGTTATCACATTTATCACTGTATGATCACACCTTTGTCACACTGCACAAAGTCTTGTGTCACGTCTATAACGGTCTCCATTCCAACTGTGATGTAGTCTTTCACTTTATCCAGCTTTTCCAGAGCTTGGTCAACCACGGCAAAGCGGGCTTGGTGATTGCCCGGCATTTTGTTGCTTGGTCTTCAATAAAAAACAGGCACTGTATGAGTCTTAAACGGCTCTCAAATTCTGCCGTGCATTCCAGAGATAATGGAATACAGAACTATATTAAAATTGTAAATTACAATAAGAGGCAGGCATGATTTTTTTTCACTGCATCAAACATTTAAATTTCTTTTCGCAATAATTCTTTTCATCTAACATTTGAATAACCCTTCAACGTGCCAATAATTTTGTGAATCTTTCCCAAATTTTTATTTTTTAAATGTGGCAAGTGACTAATCTGAATAAACAGGAAATTTGACAAATAGAAAGTGCTCTGTTTACAAACCTTGCCGCGAATTGCACGGAATTGTGGGATATGTCAAGTCCGCAGCAACTGGCTTAAAAATATTTCCTTAAGTTATTGTGAAAAAAAAATTCCATTTTACATATAAAGATTATTCTTAACGCCAAAATAAAATGAAATACATTTCTTAGTTAACAGATTATACCATACTTGAAATAACTCTCAAAGATTCTGCAAAAATATAATTCGCTCCGTGACGAAGCTACTTTGAAATCGAGAATGGGAAGTGGGATTCAATCTCGCAGGAATTAATACTTAAACCTCGGGCTGCGCGTGCATCTGACGTCACGATGCCTGACGTGCTGTCGGTGCCAGAATTCCTGGCAGAAACGTGGGAGGATTTCCACTCCCCCACGACCTCTGCGTTCGTCAGTAAGATGGGGCAGTGCCGCAACACAGTAGCAGGGCTTGAAGAGGTGTGTATGAAATTCCTCAATAATCACTTGAAAATATTTTTTACAGGGACTCAGATTTCCTCGCTCTCTATATTAACATTGCACCTGTTTGCTGCAGTTGCCTTGATTGCGATGCCAACAAGTCGTGAAAATGAATTTTTCAATGATTTGTTGAGATAATAGATTAAAGGGAAGATAATCTCGTTTTTACTGAAGTCTAGAGTAATCCGTTTATATCCATACAACTAAAATATTGAAATGGAAATAAAATGGGAGGCTGCGTCTGCAAGAGTTAATTGCAAAAGTTAAAGCATTTGCCTTGTAAGTCACTCTGTTGGGAAAAACCTGCTCCCAGTGTGAAGCTCTTCTCCGGATCATACATGATTCATAGTGACTGAACAGTTGTATTGATCCTGATAATAATAGTATTAATGGGTCCTGCTTTGTTCTGTGAGCTGCTCTTTTGTTGTGTAGTGACCAACCCTGTTTTAGAATATTTCCAATAATTAGCGTCCATTGACTAAGTGGGAGTACCAGTACATGTTATTTCTCTAGAGGGGGGCGTGGACATACGTGGATTTGTTTCATGTCAATTTTTTTAATGAGAAATGTATATTTGCAGTATCATTTATGAGTCAGAGCTTGGCAGTGTGAGTCTGTTAATGCAGTAAAGTTGTGGTGCTGTAACTCACCATGTGATAATGATTGACAGTTTGCGTGCAATCTCCTGGAGCAATTGATCTGTTATGTTGTCCTGACCCCTGAAACCCTAGATACGCTCTGTCGTGATTTATTGAGAAAAACGTCTACGACTATAACTCATCTGTAACATTGACTGAATTATCTCCAGCCAAATCAGCATGTAGCTACTGCAGTGGAAATATTTTGAAATGAGTGAAACAGATACTCGTACTGGCCCGTAGCCAGCAAATTCAAAGGGGTGGTTCTTTTTCTAAAAAAAGTGGACCTTTTACAATGAAGCCTATGTGTACTTAGATCAAATTTTACCCAAATGGACCTTTTCCTGGCTGGCAAAATGGGCAGTTCTTTCAAACCTCCCGAAACCCCCCCCCCCCCCCCCCCCCACCCCCGGCTACAGGCCTGTCGTATACCTTGTATTTTTTTAGACGGTTGGTCATATTCTTTCTCTCTCTCTCTCTCTCTCTCTCCTTCTTCTTTCCCTCCTTCCTTTTCTGCTCTTCTCTCTTTCTCTATCTCTCTCCCTCTTTCCATCACTTCCTTTTTCTTGTTTTTCCTTTCCTTCCCTCCCTCTCTCTTTCTCTCTTTTCTCTTTTTTCTCTCTCTCTCTCTCTCTCACATGTATTAATTCAGGAGGTATGTACTAGTATATCAGTGTAGATCTCCAGCCTGCAGAAGACATGTTTTGTTGTGGAAGATATAAATCACCAGTGCTGAGGGGGGGAGGAGGTCAGCTCATTCAAGCAGAAATTTGTCCTGGACAAAACTTGAATTTTGAGTAAAACTTTAAAATCTGCAAAGAGAAATTGTAGCCAAAGAAAAATCTTTTGAGTTATTTCCTGTTTTAGCGATTTTTGGTGTCTGTCTTTATATGCTTTGTTTTAAAATAATTACTAGTAGAAGGTGATGTTTTGGTCATGGTGAAAAAGGAGCTGTGATCAGATCACAGAAATATGATTGGTTTTAGAAAGATTTTGGGTAGTTACATCACAATTAATATAAAACAAGTATAATAATAATTAAAAAAACAAGTACAATAATAATATCAAATCACTGCTGCAGCAGTATGTTACGCTGTCAAAATCCCTGTTGAAGGCTGATTCATGACCAACATTTCACGATGATAGTCTGAGATCTGCTATTAAACCAAGACAGCACTTGTAAGCTTAAAGGTGCTGGAGAACTCTGAAATCCTCAGTTGATATCCTCTTGGGGAAACCGTAAGTGCTCTGTATTGATTGTTGGCGTATGGTGTTC